GCCTGCGCTTCCGGGAAACCTGACACCCTCTGGCGGCGCGGCTCACCTGCAGCCGCCCTCGTTGCCTCTAGAGGGAGCTCCGGGGATGCGCTCCGGCGCTGCGGGAGGGCAGGCAGGCGGGCGGGCAGCTAAGAAAGCAGGCGATGGAGGCGTGTAATCCTTCCACTATCCTGTCCTCTGTGGACTGACAGGAGGAGGTTGCGCTCTCCGGGACGCCGGCGGAAAACTAGCCGCCTCGCCGGCCTTGGCTGGGCGCGCAGGCCCACGATCCGTTGAGCCCGGAGCAGGTCCTGCTCCGTTCGCTGCGGTTTGAGGGTCTTTCTCTCGAAGGCGCGCCCCTTATTCAGCCGCTGTCGCGAAACCAGCCGCGAAGCTGGAGGCACCTCAAAGCCTTGACCCCGGGTCTTCCGAGGGAAGAACCGGCCCCCTTTGTTAGAGGTTCCCCGCTCACAAAACGTGAGGGGTAGACCCCGGTTGCACGTGTCCGTGGGAACGGCGCCTCCAGGCCTACCGTTGCCCCGTCCGCTGCGGGGGAGGGGGCTAGAGTTGCACCCGGCAAAAGAGGCGCCTTCCAGGGCCACCCCGTCTGCTTTGGGTGAATGTCCCCTCGCCCTCTGGGTTTGTGAGCCGTAGAAAGGCACGCTGAAGCACGTTAGGCACCCGGCTTTTTTGTCTTTGGCTGAAATAGACGGACTCCGCGACCCGTCGGGAAAGCGGCCCCTCGGCGAGAGCCCGAACGCCGTCAAGGGACCGCTGCTGGCCTAGGCTGCTCCGGCAAAATTCTGTAGGAGGTCCTTGGCTGCCCCAGAAGGTTAAAGGGGGACGGATAGGCCTCGGCTAAGAAAATGGTGGCCCTACTTTGGCCGATGTCAAAAGGGGGGGGGCAAAAAAAAACCCAGGTGGCAGTCGGAAGGAGAGAGTTTCTAGTGCTGGCTGAAGTGAAAGCCTCAAGCAAGCCAGGGCCCTGGCCAGACCCACCCTGGATTCTGATCTGCTTACTAAGAACTTCCCACTCTTGTTCAATTCAAATAAGCAGTATGTAAAACTAAGGAGGAAACAAACATCTTTTAAAAAAAACCACCCACAAATCATAATGTTGGTAACAGAGTCATAAGAATCATAAGATCCTTAATAGGATAAAGGAACAAAGTCAGGCCACAGCAAAGGGTTCAGCTTAAAGGGAAACAGCTGAGATGGGCTTTAAAGAGGCAGAAAGAGTACTTTATGTTACTTCCAGGAGCGCTCAGAAGATTATAGTTGAAGAGGTGGGGGGGGATATGGCCCTTATCCCTAAAACTTGAGGAATCTAACCAGTGTAGAAATCACAGTTGTATTCATGTTTACGTATCAGCTTTCTACAAATGGGAGCTGATTTACTAACTGCAGAGCCAAGGTCCCACAGGGCTCAACTGTGGATTCATAAAATCTAAACTTTGCATACCATGAGAGTTTAGGTCCTCAGTATTGTTGTTTGAGCCGAAACAAACTTTGCTTTTCCATCAAGTGGTTAAAAACAGACCGGAAGAGAGGCCAGAGGAAAAGCAAGTTTGCCCTCTGATCACCTTGAAAGCTTGCAAGCACTTTTAACTTCCACCCACCTGAGAGTCTGGTTATATTGACAATACTGATGATGTTAACAAAAGTCACACGTTTTTAGCCGCGCCACTCGAGCCACCTTAGAAGTTTTCTTGGTGGTCTTGACCGTGACCGTCTGAACTCCCAGCCCAGACGAGCCTCCCACTGACTCCTCCTGGGGGCGTTGTTCTTTGAAATCGAGCATCCTGGGAAAATAAGGGTCTTCCATTGGGGGGGGCCAAAGTTTCACCCCAGGGCTCGGAAAGACAGAAGACGCAGGTGGACGTCTCAGGATTGGACCGACGAAGGGAGGACGGCTTCTCTCTTGACGAGGATGATGGTGATCTCGATCTTTGTCCGTTTAATATCCTTCCTTCAGTCCAGGCTTTGTTCACCATCATCTTCGACGACTATCCCCAACGGGCTTTTTAGGGATGCCTCTGCCTCCTTCCACCGCCTCCCAAATAGGGTCCCCCACTTCCCCTGAGAGCTCCGCTGCTGTCTCGTCCCCCTGAGGTGTCCCCTCAGAACCAAGACCCATCTTCTCCTGGAAGAGAAAAGGGGGAGAAACTGTGAGGACGGGAGCCCTGGACCAGGATCCGATTTGCCGTGGGATCTGGCTGAGCGCTCCTGGTGGCCCGTGGGGTGGACGCTCCGCCACCCAACCCAGTTGAAACTCCGTGGGTTTAGGGGGGAATCCCAGGGGCTTAGGGGAGATATTTAGCCCCCCAGCATCCCTGGCTTCACCACCCACCAGGAAGTGATTCTGGTTGCTGCCCCAAGAGGGGTGCGGGGGTCTTCGCTGAGTCACTCCCTCATCTCTTTCAGAGAGGAGTCCGTCTCCTCCTGCCCCTTCCCAAAGATCGTCTTTGGCTGCTCCGAAGTGGGTGGTGGGGACCTTTCTTCGCCTTCCTTTCTGGAGGGGCTCCGGGCATTCGAAACCCATTTCCTCCTGAAAAGAGAGAAAGGGAAAAGGGGGAAGACGACAGGAGCTGTGGACCTCCACCCAGCTCCCCATGGGACCTGACAAAATGCTCCTTGGGGCCCCTTACGTGGACCTCCCTCGGTAGCCCCAATCTCCCAGGAGTTCCCTTGACGAAGGAGGTGCCATTTCCAGATGAGGAAGGATGCTTCTTGAAGAGGCAAAACTGGTCTGCGTGGGCCAAACCCACGTTTGGTCAGTCGGCCTGCCTTTTTGTTTCATAATGCGGTGAAAGAGCATGGCTCTATTTACATGCTTGATGAGTCCCAGACAGGCAGCCCTGAAAGAGTTGCATAGCTGGAGGGAAACCGGTTTTAAGAGGGAGATCTGGATTCACATCCCTGCTCAGCCCCATAAACTCACTGGGGGAGGTGTCTACAGAAAGCTACCCCTAAAGGGGTAGGGTCACGCTAATTAAGGGACGACTTGGCAGTGGTGCTCCACAATGACAACGGCTTCAGGAAACTACAGAAGTCTTTGCTTTTCCTTCAATAAAAGGCAAACACAGCAGGAAGTGGACCCGAGTGGGAGCCCGAGGGGCTGTTCGCTCGGTCACTCTCTGTGCCTGCCCTCCCTCGCAGGGTTGCTTGGGGGAATCATCTTGGTGGCCGAGCCAGGAAAGAGTTTTAGGGTCCCCGGAGGGAGAAACCTGTGACATCCTTCACACACAGGCCCATGGAAATACAGCCTCGAAAACATACTTAGCGGCTGATAACTGTCCGGCGAAACGCTAAAACGGGCGTGACCCACAGAACATCCCCTTCACACCACTGTCCAGAGGAGGCTCCAATGGTCAACTGGCCAAATGACCGTTGAGCCCAGAGGTGGACATTCTGCCAAGACACCCCCCCCCTTTGGAACGTCAACTCTCCTGCGTATCCTGGTAACAGGCTCCTCCCTGTCCCACCGCCTGCCTCGGGAAAAGCCCCCCTCCCTCCATGCTCCCCTCTTTCCTCTTGGGCTCCCCAGAATGTGGTCTTGAAGGATAGACTGCCACCAACCCTGGAGGTTCATGTGGACCTTCTCACAGAGGATAACTTGATTGCCTCATGTCTTGCGGAGAGAGATCGGCCGATAGGTCTCCCTGGACGAGGACATGGGGACCTGATCCAGCTGGCACAGGCCGGGGATAAAGGAAGGAGAGGGAGGGGGGAGGAGGCCACGGTGGGTACTTCACCCTAACCCCGACTGCATGAGATGGGAGCACTGTAGCTCCATGATACGGTGTAATACCTCATCAGCTGCTGCGGTTCTGTCCGACGGGCATCCCGGGTTTTGTGGTTTGGTGGAAAGTGTGCTTTTCCATTGACGCTCCAAAGGTTTAACTCCCTCAAAGGTTTGCTTCTAAACTGTGCTTTGGATTGCTTTCCATGGGCTTGTCATTTAATCCTTTTTCCAAAAGCTGGCCGTTTTTGGCCTTTGAAGGGCATCCTTGCTTTCTCCCTTCCTCCTCCTGGCTTTTCCTTCTGCTCCTGGGCCGGGAGCAAGTAGAAACCACAGAACAAGTTGGGAGGGCAGGACAACAGGGGAATGGTGGATTTATGGGGCTGTTCCACTTCTCTTGCACCCCACTCATCCACACCTAAACTACCTCCCCAGACCCATGCACTGCGAGTGCACCTTGATCTTCAGTCTGCAACAGTTGCACCATAACAAAGAGGCATCCCATTGCAGTTTTTACAACCTTGTGTGCTGCCTGTGGTTGAGTGACTGGGAGGGACTTTTCTGGGGTGACTGTCAATCTGTCCAGCATTGACCAATCATACTCGTCCACCTCTGAATTCATAGAGAGCCCCACCTCTCTGCTAAGTGTTATTTTCCCCCTGTTTATTTGTTTATTAAATTTAAATCTAAATTTATTTATTTATTAGATTTAAATCTAAATCCCCGGGCAGCTGGGGCTCGTCAGCCTTGGAAGGCAGCCCATCTAGGAGAAGGAAAACTCCGATTTCAAACCTCCACTGCCTTGTGGCT